CTGACTGGTACCCAAGCTGAGTACAAAAGGAGAGACACAAGCAGATAAATCGCCTTTCTAACTTCTCGGAAAGGCTTTAATCCATTTATTTTATTTTTTTTTTTTAGTTTCTATTCCAACTCTCACAACTTATACTCAGTTGGTGCAACTCATCGACCCGAGTGAGTCACCTCACATCCCCCTCCTTTTGGTGCCGGAAAACACATTGTGGTTTAGCACCGTCCTGTGAAATGCTTCCCATCGGAATATTTGTGAACTTCTTAATATGCTTCCAGTGATGAAGCATCACGGCAGCTTGTCCCTGCTTCATGGAGACCCTCAGGCTTTACTGGGGTTCAGGCTGCCGAGGCCGTTGGCCCCCCCTGCCCAACTGCTGCCCACATCTTCCCACTTCCACCGCCTGCTCGCTGCTACCGTCTTCGCCTCACGTCTTTATTAATCACTTGACTCAAGGAGACAAAACATCAGACCAGGTTTCTGTGATTTCCCTGGTGCATGACTCATACTTAATGTGGAGGCTATATTAATTACTGTGTGCTTAGCATTTAATGAGGCTGAGAAGTAGTCTCCTCGCTTCAGCTCTACACAACACGCGCCGAACCCGCTACACGCGGTGAATAGATTCCCGAAACGCTGAAATCTGGAGGTGTGTTTTATAAACGGAGGCAAACGAGACGTCGCTCGAGTTCCTTAACACAGGATGGCCCTCAGCTGAGAAATCTGGACCCTAGTCCTGATGCTTTCACAGGCTCCTTTGTGCCCACTGGCCAACCCTCTTGTGCTTTGTGCCTCCCGATTTCCTGTCCAATTGTGGGGATAATCACGGCTGGCTGAGGCCAGGCTCAGCACAGAACACTTCTACAGCTTAACAGCGCAGCGTTAATGAAGGCCAAAAGCAATTATCCTAATTTATTTATATTTTTTTTTTTAATATAAGGAAAAATGTCTCTTTTTTGGGATGATAAATTATGTATTTTCCATTCCGGTGTGATGGCATTATGGCCCAATGCTCTCCTCCAATGCTATCCGTACTGTGTCTTCTCTGTCCTTCATTAACTTCTTTCTCAAAATGCCACGTATTTAATACCCTCTGTAGTTTAAAACAGTTCAGGTCAGATTTCAATCATTTCAAAATAACCTAGTTGTGGACAGATGTGATGCCCATAGTGCATCTTTCCCTGACCCCATGTGCAAAGAGAAGTTGCTAGGAAAGAAATTGAGCCCGAGAAACAACTCACGAAACAGGTTTTTTTTTGCTGATTCAAAGGAATAAATGCTTGGATTTGGCTGGAGCCAAATGAAATTGCACCGTGAGCTGTGTAACAGCGAGGCAGCCTCAGCTTGGGCTCAAATTCATCCATTTAGCCAAACCCATTCTCGCTCCCTGGTAGACTCAGCAGAGTGACTTCCATGAATGGAATTTTTCAGGGTTTCCTTCCTATGTAGTTTTTCTTCTGTTTTCTGAAGCATTTTTGGGCTGCACCCCACCTCTAGTAGGTCGTTATTTTCTTTATCCGTGTCCTGGTTACACTAGTTCTTGTCCGTTGAACTGCTTTTCTCTGCCTGCACTAAAAAGCAGTCTTCAGAGTTTGGTAGAAATTGCTTTTCTGAGAGATATTGTTGCCATCACTTGAAGCATCTCTGTTCTCCACTGCTGGAACGAGCCATAGAATCACGGAATGGTTTGGGTTGGAAGGGACCTTGAAGAGCATCAAGTTCCAACCCCCCAAAAATACGTGATAAGTCAAAAATATGCCAAAAAATATCCCATCAAAATACGTACTAGTAACATGTCACCCTTGGGACAATACCAGAAACCTCTCTTATGGATTTTGATTTAATTTGTTCTCTAAGTTCTCTTGGGCCAAAAATAAGTTTGGGGGTTTTGTTGTCATTGAGTGTTACAGTATTTATCGACTTTTACTGTGTAAATAATAAAAAGATTTCAGGATAAAAGAAGAAATGGTGTGAAGGATCCAGGAGTGAATCTGTCACACTAATTTGTAAAATCTTAATAGTTAAAGGAGTGTTTGCTGACATCGTGTGAGTGAAGCAAGCTCAATTACATTGAGATAATAAGAAAAATTAGTGGCTGGAAAAGGACTGTGAACAAGGAGTGAATGTAATTAACCAGTACCATTAAGCACTGTCTGTGGTGCCTCCATGTGAAGCCCCATTTAAATGGATGAGTCTCCCTGATGAAGAACAAAGCTCAGCACTCTCTCTTTACAGTTTTTGCTGTAATTTCTTATGCAAGTTTAGCCAATTAGAAAACACCTCTTCTGGTCCACTCTCTTTAACTTTGCTTTAAATAAACATCAGTGCAGCTTTCTCAATAATATTGAAAAGGTGAGTTAGGAGAACATGGTGTGTTAGATGACTGGAGTAATCCCATATTTCTTGTATTTCAGGGGCTGGGAATGGAGCTGAGAGTTTATGAACACTATAGAGACCTAAAACTCCAAATTCTTGGAGAGAATAAAATAAGAAGCACGTCCAAGTTGCAGGCAGGCGGGCTGGTGGAGATGGGCAAGTGAAGCACTGCAGTAACAGAAGGTTGTGCATAATGGGTTGTTCCCAAGAAAAACTTGGAAAAAACTTGTGTGCTTTCTTATAAATAAGAGTTGCAGCAGGTTTCCTGTGCTGGTAGAATCGGGCTTATGATGTACTGCTGGGGAATTGTTTGTATTAGCAACCACGAAACCAGCTGTGGGTCTGGGGTGCTGTATGCAACATGTATTTTTGGCGTAGTGGGAAAGGATGTAAGGAGCATAGGAAACACAAAAACTAGGGTTACATTTCCTGGGCTAAAGAGTTAGGCTATGTGTTAATCAACATAGGTAAGTGGTGCAATTTTGATACCATCCTCCTCACCTCATTTTTGTTTTTTTTTTGTGTGCGTACACACAATCCTGGGAACTGTTCTCTAAGGTAAATACAATCTCATCTTCCACCAGAGGTATCAAACCTCTTTACAAAGGAGGCATCTTCCCTAATGAGAGTGTGATGCAATGACTTTGGTACCAAAAATACAAGATCAGGGTAAGGAATTATATGAACCTAAGAGCACCAGTAGCAAATTCAGTGTGTTACACTTAGAAGTGTGATTTCTCCCAGACTTCCTTCTGACCTCCCAATGGAAAATTACATGATATGTGGTATTGATGAATCTATAATCGTGTAATAGCAGCAAATTGGAAAAATCAGTAATTTCATAAAACTCCAAAGCATCAAAAGAAGCCGTTAGTGGTTTACAGTGTTACCTCTGGTATCACAAAGTTCTGATGCCCTTCTTCAAACACCTGGAGTCCTCTAGATCCACCTACATCTCTTCATCACTTTGACTTAATCATAGGTTATTAAGTGTTTGTTTTCAGAGGAAGGATTCCCTAGATTTGTGTTCCCGATTAAAATCCCACTTTTGAGGAATTATTATACCAATAATTCCTTCATACCGATTTTTAACCAGAAGAACATGAATTGGATTAGAGAATTAGATCACTTGCCATGGTGATAACTCTCTGAGATAACCATGAATTGAGGGAGAATGTTTTGGAATCTAGACAAGCTTCATCATCTGAAGTTCTGCCGTGTGATAAAATTCCTCTACTTGGTTTGATTTTGGCCACTTTTGGAACATTCAGGCCTTGCTGGGACCGTACCCCTGTTGGATGACATTGACAAGATCAGCCAGATCTGGCCAGCCCTGTTCTTGGCACATCAGTCCCCGCATCCGCAGGGCAGTCCTACCAAAGGCAGAGCTGGAGACCTGCTTGTTCAGTTGATGTCTTGGGGTTACAAGTTGGGGACAAGGGGCTGTATTAATTAATGCTCTCGTTTGGGACAGTCACAGTGCATATTTCCTCATATCTACTATAATGATAAACGTACAAATGTTGTCAGAAATACTTGTGCTGAATCTTAATTCGAATACGTGCGCCCTGACTGCAGTTTGATGTGTTTCTGTAGTCAACAAACTGATTTTTAAGTGTGGTCAGTTAAAAACAGTCTTGTAATCCACAAGAAAATTCATTAAGAGCCTCGTGTAATATGGTACATGCCCATTATTTTCCTTCTCTAAGTAACTATGTACCCTTACAATAACTTTACCAAATGAGCCACTTAAGAGTACGTTTTAAGGATGTTTTTCAGTTTAATTATCACTGTTGAAAGGCATATCTCCATTAGGTTTGTGCATACATGGGAAAAAAAACTTAATCACTGACTGATTCCTGGTTTATGTAGCTACTCTGAGTATTCAAGCTAATTGTGTTCGGGATAGTTGTCCTTTTGAAAAGGTCGAGAGGTAAAATCCTTACAACTTGCTTCGGAATCCCGAGGCAGAACTGCTTCATTTCCAGGGATCACGGCTCCGCTATCAAATAAGGAAGAGAGATTCCATAAATTTTGCAATAAAGTTGCTTCCCAACTCGCAACGCCCGTCCTCTTACATGTCCTACTCCTCTTACTCTTCCTGCTTCTTGGATGTGTGCTTTCTTTGGGCGCCTCGGCTGGGTTATTGGTGTGGGCAGCAATCGGGCGCTTCCCCGGGTTGGCGGAGATGAAAAGATGTATTTTCTTTTGAGAGCTGCATTGTCCTGCCGTTGTGTGCATTTCACTCCCATTGTGTGGTTCTTCACCAAATGAAAACAGAGCTCCTCTATCCCCGAGGACAAAGAACAAACTGTTGTCGGGAGGGGTGGGGGGGGAGGAATATACACAAAATCGTAAATCTTTTTCCTTCTCCTGTTTATTCTTCGTGCCATTCAAGCCCGTTTAGGGAATGACCAGTTAACTCGGATGGGCCAGATCTCCCCTATCTAAAATGACACAGCCAAATTTCCAAATCCTCCCCAGTTGAATGCAGAGTTTGGTTTTCCTTGCTCTTTAATTTCTACTTCCCAAACCGATACTCCAGTTATCAAACAAACATTCCCTTCCTCTAATTAATGCACTGATCACCAGCCATATTGTAAAATACAGGGAAGATGTGTACCAGATTCATTTCGTTGCGCATCCAGTTCTTTATTATTGTGAGTAAAACTGTTTAAAGATATTTGTCCTTCAGTATTTAATCTGCTAGCTGTACATTGCACATCACTGCATACTGAAATATACAGGAAGCAGGAGTTTTACAGATTACTTTTCTATGGTAAAAACATGCTGCAAAAGTAATAATTTGTAAAATAACCCTAATCAGTGAAGAAAACACACTTTTGACTATGATATGGTACCCACTAAGTAAAAACCAATACAAACTTGGGGGAGGAGATTCCAAAATTAAATGTTAGATCTGAATTATTTAATCATAATACAGTGTTGTAATTATCGTCCATATTGTATGTACCTCATTGCATTTCAGGTCCTATCAATTCGTGATGTGTGGAATTTAGAAGAACTAAAAGCAGTGACTCAGTTACCCCCCAAAAATTGTTTTTATATTGACAAGTCATAAGTTTAGAAGTAAATTATGTTAATCAGTTTCCTTTGATATCTCCTGCTGGTGTCTGAATTGCATAAAGATTCAACTTTGTGATAAGTGGCAGGTCTGCAAAGAAACTGTATATTTAATCCGAATTATACATTGCTAGGATGAGGTCCTGCACGGGCTCGTGTTCTTCCAGAAATAACGTATGTACAAGAAGTGAGTTAAAAAAAATTACCGTGCCACACTCAGAGGAGTTCTAAAAGGTTAGGTTGTTAGAGCAAAACTTCTGTGATACTTCTCTTTCCTTTCTTGGAAAACTTTCTCTGGTTTTGCAGTCTTATGGGGGAGTTTTGCCTCGGAAAGACCAATGGACACAAGATAGATCTGTATCATCTACTGCGTGTGACACTTGCTGTTCCCAACAGGAGTCGGTGAAAGGCATGGGATGCTGGAGGGAGTGATTCTAAACCAGGGAAATATTTACCACTCAAATATCTGAAGAAATTAGCAGTGATAAAAAGGAAATACTGAAAAGGGAACACCAAATGGCTTAGCTGGGCTCTGAAAAACAAGGGAACGGTCTTTAAATTCGCCTAGATGTTTTTCTGGATATTTGAGCGCTCTGGCCTTCTGGGGGGAAAGAATAATGTAAATGCCAAAAAGAGCTGGACAAAAAGTGAGCTTTGTATCCTATCTATGAGAATCAGACGATGTGTGTCATGATAGTTTTTACAGTCATAGTCTACAGTCCTCCACTGATTAAAATCAAATTTGACAGTAACACAATATAGAGGTTTAACTGACAGCACACACAGCACATTTGCTAGTCATAACGCCACAGTTTAATGACTGACGCATGTGGGAAGCTAATTCGGATTTTTTTTTTTTCTTTTTTCCTTGAATGGGATAGATGAGCATCCACTTAATACCGATCGTGAATCCCAAGCCATGTGACAAAATTGATGCTACATACCCTGTTCTTGTTTTGCACATTCTGCACATTGAGCTGCAGGAAAAGAGCCGGTTTGTACACACATCCGGAGAGAACGTTCATTCCGCTCCCTGACACGTCCACCAACTGCAGCCAAATGTATCCAGCTTGCTGCTGTTGTGTCCACAGACTAATTACCCTTTCTCTGTTAAATAGCCTAAGAATTACAAATTGTATGCCTGTTTTGAGAAAAAGTACAGGTTGAACAAGCAGACGTAGTATAAATAAAATATTTATATAAAAATAGTCTCTTACAAAATATACTCTCTTATCCTATGGTTGATTTTTCCAAAAGATGGAAGTTTGTCTGGATTTTCTTATTTTTAGGCATATTCCAAACAGGATTTTATTAATGCTTCTTTCTTTAATTGAAGAAAAAAAAAACAAACCTCAACCTGGTAAAGATTTGCAACCCCTACCGCTTGACTTTTGTTCCAGACAACTAGCAGCAAACAGGAAAAAAAACCACAAAAAAACCCAAAACAAAACCAAAAAAACCCCCAAAACCAACAGTGTGTGTTTGTGTATGTACATATATATAAAGATGCCAGCTTTTGTATTTAAACATCTAGTACTGTAGAACATATCCTGCAAGTCCAACTAATAGAAATATCCTAGTTAAGAATAATATATACAGCTCCAGTTTTTCCTTGCTGTTTCTACAAAATTATTCCACAAAGAAAGCCAGCTATCTACTTTAATTGCAGAATAGTTCCAAAAACGTCGGTAGAGTTCTTTTTAATTAAATAAATTAATATTAGTTTTATCTGAATAAATTGTTAAATATTGCTATTATTATGCCCAAGTGTCCCAAATCCCTGTGCTAAAATCTGCAGCACACACACACGCACACACAAAATAGGCAGATAAAGCAGTGTCTACAGAAAACTCCGACAGTTCTACTCGCCGTAGCAAACGGTACGACGGGGAAGGATGGGCCAGACCAAGCGGAAGGTTTTTTTCGAGTGGAGAAGCCTGAATCCGTGTCACCCGCACCCTCAGGAGGGCCAGTCACGGGGGGCACCGTCCATCCCCTCCTGTGCAAAAGCCCTATTTTTGGAGGATTGCTCCCCTCTCCGCTCCTTATACATTGAAGTTTTTGACCATCTTTTTTTTTCCCAACCAAGAGTTAGTGGCTATGCTCAGAGATTTTCCTCCGGAGGTGGTCTCTTCACAAGGCGGTCAACCCTTCTTGCTCTGGAGGGTACAGAGATGACCCTTTTCTCTCTGTTTTGCGTGTCGGGTGGCCCGGGGTTGGGGTGTGGGGGGGTCAGTTTGTTTTTGTTCCTCGGCTGACTTTCCTAAGAGTCTGCCAGGGGTATCCGCATAAGCCACCAAGACAGGAGAAGACAAGAGAGGGGCTCCATTCATCAGCGTTTCTTCTGGGAGAGCAGGTCATCCTTAGGGTCCTGTGTAGGGACGTTGAGTCCATGTGCAAATGTAATCCCGGCCGGGCCCGTGCCGCCCCCCTCACTTACAGGTGTACACCTCTGTTCTCTCGCTGCACGTGTTGCATTTCACGTAGCAGCACCAGTGGAATTTGCAGTTGCACTGCCACACGCGTGAGTACTGGTGGGTGTTGTAGCCCCGGCCGCAGCACATCAGGTCGCAGCCGTTGGACTGCTGGGCCGTCTTGTTGCACATCCTCCCCTGCGTCCCCACGCTGCCCGTGACGGGGTCTTCTTCGCAGTAGTTGGGAGATTTCTCGATGTACACCAAGTCTGTGTCCATGGGTTTGCGGTAGGAAAGGGGCTTCTTGATTTTGAGGAAGGTCGGGCGCTTGTTGCGGCTGGCTCTCACCGGTTCCACTTGAACGGCTTCGTTGTATTTGTCCTTAAGGATGTAGCCCAGCTCCCGGAATTTAGGCAGGGTTGTCCAGCATGTTTTAGTGGTGCAGGATCCCGAGACCCCGTGGCACTTGCACTCTAACTTCATGTTTTCCTCCAGAATCTGCATGTGGAAGAACAAAGGATAATGTGTTAATACAAGTTGGAGTCTCTTCAAAAAAAAACCAGGTCGTTTAGATGCGGTACTGAGGGATATGGTGTAGGGGAAGACTTTGTAGAGTAGGGTAGATGGTTGGACTCGATGATCCCAAGGGTCTCTTCCAACCTCAATGATTCTATGATTCTATGGTTACAGTTGGGTTTGCTCTCCAGCATGAGATGCCACCAGACATAAGACACATTCCCACCAAAGCCCTTGGCTTTGCTTGCCTGGTGAGGCTGGTGTCCCAGGTAGCAAACGGTCACCAGCATCAACCAAGTTCTGCCTACAGAGCTGATTCCCCATTTGAACTTCCAGTTAAACAGGGAAGGTAACTTCACCTAATTTCACAGCCCACGGACCAAAGGGAAAATGGGACCCTCCTTAACCACAGCGTGATCATCAAGTGCTTCAGATTGGTCTGTTCTGATTTTTGGCAGTGAAGTTAGGAACCAGCAGAAAATCGCACCTTTACATGAAATGCCACCTGCAGAATGCTTTGAAAGTTCAACAACAGGTACTAGAACTTGATTTCTGTAAAGAGAGGTTCAAAAACAACCTGCGTTTCAGTTCTTGCCCCTGAAAATGGCACAGGCTGGTGGAAGATGGAAGCAAGCATGTAAACTCTATCAATGCTTATCCTCCTGTTGGTCTCAGATGTTCTAAATGTTGTAAGTTAATGCTCCAGTTTGGAAATCTGAGTATTATTTTGGTATACCATAGTGTTGAGTTCTTCGCACTGCCTGGCACTGCTTTGCCTCCTCTCCTGTGGATAATGCCCCAGCTACTGTCCTGGAGCATAAAGGGTCAGAGTAAAGATGAGAAATTGGTTTCATGTTTTGTCATCAGTTCTTGTTTAAAAAATTCTACCTCCTTAATACCATAAAAGCATCTCAAACACCTCTACGTCATGGCTTTCTCCACCCTGTGTCATGTTCTATTCTTTGTAGGGGCCTCTCAGGCTTACGCCGGTGTTGTCACTACTTCCCTTTTGAAGATAACAAGCTTCATCTTCCCTTCAACCTTCACATCCCTTGAAATTTAGTCTCGTGCCTTCTCCCTCCAGCTATTTGTTTACCAAGCAGGGCTTTGCCAAATAAAGCTGGAGACCAGCTTGGTCCCTGCTGACTGTCCTGAGCCCCAGAACTGACCTCTCTTAGCAGCTATGTTGGGTTAAGGCTACAAAACATACCTCATTCCAGCAGCTCCTTTCCCACTGGTCTTTGCTTGAAAGAGAGCAGCATAAGGCTGATGATTAAGCTCTGCCTAACCTGGCAGATACCAGGAGTGGGAAGCCCAGCCCAGAGGGATTATCTGGGTTCAGGGAGTGGCCACATAATTTTTCCCCTGAGAAACCCCAGCTGATCTGTGCAGCTCCAAACCTGGAAGGCTGGAGGGAGGTCAGTGATACGAAAATGTGAATTAACCCTTTGCTATAAGCCCCCTCCCCTTCAGTTTTGGATGTTTGGAAAGCTTTCCAAGCAGACTCCCTCACCGGCAGCCGATGGCAGCCTGCGCTGGGGGGGCCACATCCAGCCCCAAGGCTAGACCTGGGTGGTGGGACTTCAAGTCTAAAATCTCAGCCTAAACTGGGGGTGGCAAGGAGAAAGAGCCCATCCTAAGCTGTGCAGCCAGAAGATAAGTAGTGCACCAACACTGTTGAACACAGCTCTGTCCTGTTCTTGGCAACCTTAACATAATTTAAAAACTGCACGTAGTAGCTTATTATTCTCATACCTTTTGGTCTTGAGGCTGTTCCTGTGTCACCCAGGCACAGAAATTGCTGTTGCCCAACCTCAGGGTGGTTTGTAGCTGCTTCTTAACTCAGTGTTCTTCCTCTGCCCTTTTTCATCCAATGATTTCAAAAGCATTAAATTATCTTTATTTTTATTTTAGCCTAGGAGTGCAGTGTCAGAACTTGCAGTCTAAAAACAGGATCAAAGCCCCTAGAAAGGAGAGGTCCAAGATTTTGACAGATGTGAACTCAGCGTATGTCAGGTCACACTTTGTGCTACTGTTTTTAAACTAGATTTTTGTGCAAACTATCTAATGACTGCCCTACGACTCAGATGTGAGGAGCTTTTATATTCAGATCTACATCTTAACTTGCAGTTCTGCTTTGGCTTACGTTTTGCATTATCTTGTTATCTTGAGTTTCTCTCTCAGCCACTGCATACTTCTTTTATTGCTCACTCATTCATAAGGTAGTACCCTTAGAAGATAGATGAGGAGACGGAAAAGGAGTTATAGCACAGAACCGGAAAAATAGCATAAATTCTTTTAGCCTCATTTGTACCTTTTTAAAAGCTCTCTTTTTTTTTTTAATTTGAAACTAGCCAGGGATAGATTTCTCAGCCCTAATTCAATCACTGCCCTTGTTCAAGTGGTTGGCCTTAGATCCCGGTACGATGTTCAAACTTGCAGCAAAATATTTCTAACTCGCCTTTTCCCATCAGGATCCGACTTGAAACATTTATACAAAACACATCATGGCTTAGTGTGGTCTATCCAGGTAGGTCTTTTTCCCTGGAGTGTAGTTAAAGAGCCCAAATTGCCTTTTTTGGTTTATTTCATTACCATCCCATCTGCAGCCAGCGATCTCTGGGAGAAGGAGCAGCCCCACGGGGAAGAGCTGGGCCAGTGGCCGGAGCAGTTCAGCAGCGGGTGGCCTCATGCCACGGGCTGGTCTCCTGCTCCGGGGGGACACGGTGCCAGCCAGAATGAGCTTCTGGTTCTCTGGTCTCCGCTGAGGCTGGGCATGAGCAGTTAGGGTAAAACAGTCTGGTTTTGCCTGGACATGAGAAGTTTGAGCAATACCAGTTGAGCCCAGGTTCTACGTGTCCTTCTTAGACAACCAAAATTGCTTGGAGGGGGACAGGAGGCGGCAGAGGGATGAGAAAGAACTTTGTCTTTTAATGCTGGTGTCATTAAAATGCTTTTAATTTATTGGTGTCCTCAGTAACTGGGCATGCCTTCAGTTATTTAATCTGCACATGGCCTGTCAGAGTTTCAATTTCTTTTTTTCTATTTAATATTATATTTGAAGTGTTTCAGTTCCAGCCATCTGAATATATTATTTTTGAATCTCAGACATCGAAGTAATTATTTTTTTTTCCAGATCCTGCTCCCTCTATAAGGTCCATTAGATAAATATTTGACGGTGGATAATTACTTAGCATTTGTGTTCAGCGAGAACTGAATGCTAGTTTGGATCAAATAACTCTGCAGATCTGCTTGTCTGTGTGATTTTTTTTTTTTTTTTTTTTTTTTTTTTTTTTTTTTTGTAGATAGCACTTCCTAAGATTTACTGGCCAACCCTCCCTTTTCTCTTCGTGCTTGTTGGGGGTGCGTTTCCGATACGCCCTGCTGAAGTTGCTCCAACCCATCTGCCTAATTTGGGTCCACCACACTCTGCAGCTGCACTTTCCCTTCCCATCCTGCCTGCAGTGGTGCTTTGATAGTCCCGTTGTACTGTGACATCAGGTGCTTGGCCTATTTGTTTTCCATTAAAATTTGTGGACAGCGGTATTTTAATACCGTTACATTATTCTAGTAGCCTCCAATAAATCAGCGCCGTTATAAATCCAAGACAAGAGTTGAAGAGAGAAGGAAGAAAATTAAACAGGGGATTCTCTGGGTAGGGACTGGAGCCCTCAGTCTTTCCCGTGGTTTCTGTGAGCCAAAAGAAGTGCTCTGCCCCTTAAAAACTTGGTCTGTGTTAAAACCAGAAAGTGTTCTTCACCTTTCAAGATCAGGATTTGTTTCTTTGAAGGTATTAGCCAGCAGCTCACACTTTTTACATTAGATTAAAACTTTATGTATGCTATATACTGACTTTTCCTAAAATGCAAGAGTCTGAAGGGCACAAAATTTAAATCCTAGATCCTCTGTTTCTTACCAAATGACCATATCCAGCTCCGTCAGTCATGGAAAGTAAATCTGTATGCACCAGTGAATGCTCTGAACTGGATTAAAAGCGAACAAAGAGCTGGAGTTCTTTTAGCTTTGTCCACTTTTTCTTTGAGCTCCTACAGTAAACTGTCAGTACTTGTTTTTCTCTCTCCCCCTTGCCATTAGCCTCTGGGAAATAGTTTGTGTGAAGAGAACTTGCGCTGGCTCTCTCTATTGATGTTATCTTCAGATATAGCACCTTTGGGCACTGCCATAAGGAACTTAACATGTTTTTTCTTCGCCTTTAGTTTTGCAGGGAATGCGTGGGGTGCGTCACGCCAGGGTGGCGAGCTCAGGAGAACCCTGCAGCCCAGGAGCTGCGTGGGCTGGTACCAGCACTGTGGTCCTGCAGCGGGCAGGGTGCCCGGTGGTGGTACCCTGGCTGGGCTAATGCTCCTGGTTTCCCATGCAACCAGCAGAAAATGCTGGCTGGTGTGACTGGAGTGGCATTTTTTTGCCAGCGCTGTCGCTGCCGCCCTGTGTAGCCTGGGTGGTGGGATCTGGGCAAATGGAGAGGTTGTAACGTGGCTGGTGTGCTCAGAAACACTGGCCACCCTCATGCAGGGGTTTTTCTCAGCTCAATGTCTCTGTTACCCACCTTAGTGGTCTCTACCTCCCTGGGCTTCCAGCATCTAAAGCCAGCTGACTTCCCAAACGCAGTCTGGGACCCCACGTGCCCACCCACATGGGGTCAGGTACTGCACAGCCCTGGCTTTGGTTACCAGGACACTAAAGCACTCGATGCCAAAGCTGTCCTGAAGGACTTACAGCGTGAAACACAGTGACCATCACACCTCCCATGCATTCTCCTTCACCAGTGGGATTTCCCCTGGAAACCCAGTCCTGCCTCCCATTCCATCCACCCAATACCATGAGCCAGAGGCCAGGACCCTTGAGTGCACCATCAGAAATAACTCTGTCTCCAGTCTTCACGTGAAGCAGATGTAATTAGTGAGACAACAGACACTGATTCCTATCCCACCGAGGCCATCATCTTTCCTAATTTTGTCTGA